CTCAAAAGTCAAATATTTTCTCTCATATATGGAAGCTTGAATAAAATAAAAGAAAGGAGGAGGGATGAATAGGATATTGGAAAGACATAGGGAGATTAATAGTGTATCAGGGGACTGAGTGGCAGAATGGAGAGATGGGAAAGTGGAAGCAATGGGGAATGAATTTCTAAAAAATCATGTTATGTGTATATATAAATATACCAAAGGGAATTTCATCTTCATATATATTTTAAAAGAACCAATCAAATATAGAAAAAATAGATAAGTAAAAGTAATCTAGCACAGTAGAGGAATAAGAACTAGGAAGGGGAGGGAAGATGGGAGGGTAAAGGGTTGGGAAAAGGAGGGGATAGTAAACTAAAATCAAATTCATATGCATGTATGATTTTGTTGGGAGGTAAACCATGTATAACTATAAAGCTCTAATAAAAACTAGAATGAGCACCATAGGTTTTAATTATAAATGAATTAATATATAGATGTATAGTGTGTATATACACACACACCTACTCATCAGAAAAGTAAGTAAATAATAAGGCTTTAAATAAATTGAGCTTGCCTTTACCCATATCTCAGGTTTATAGCAGCATTGTTCATCCTAGCACAGAACAAGATAGGAATAGTAACTAAACAGGAAATTTAGTGAAATTTAATTACCAGGGCTAGATTGTAGGAGCTCAAAATATTTACCACTAAATATATTTTCACAGATTTTTATGGCTACATATGAGGAAGACTGGTATCAATCAGTCTTCCAGCCAAATAAAAAGGGAAAGAGCCAATAAATAAACGTATTTTGAGAATTACAACATCTGGAGTTGGAAGCTAATTCACAAAGGCAAACTCCAAATTGTAGTCCCCCACTTAACAAATATTTATGACATGCAAGTTTGTATTTATGTATGCCATGCAATGGCATATAGCCATTACTAGCGTTCCTGAATTTAAGAAGATTAAATTTTTTAAAATAACAAAAACCATTAAATATACAAGCAAAAGCTTGTTTAAAGGAAAGCATGATGGTATTTTCTGTCATTAATTTGTTTTAAAAGTGTTAATCACTCTTTTTTATTATTAGTTGTTCAAAACATTACAAAGCTCTTGACATATCATATTTCATATATTTGATTCAAGCAGATTATGAACTCCCGTTTTTACCCCGTATACACATTGCAGATTCACATCGGTTACACATCCACTTTTTTACATACTGCCATACTAGTGTCTGTTGTATTCTGCTGCCCTTCCTATCCTCTACTATGCCCCCTCCCCTCCCCTCCCCTCCCATCTTCTCTCTCTACCCCATCTACTGTAATTCATTTCTCTCTCTTGTTTTTTCCCCCTTTCCCCTCACTTCCTCTTATATGTAATTTTGTATAACAATGAGGGTCTCCTTCCTTTACCATGCAATTTCCCTTCTCTCTCTCTTTCCCTCCCCCCTCTTGTCCCTGTTTAATGGTGATCTTCTTCTCATGCTCTTCCTCCCTATTCTGTTCTTAGTTGCTCTCCTTATATCAAAGATGACATTTGGCATTTGTTTTTTAGGGATTGGCTAGCTTCACTTAGCATAATCTGCTCTAGTGCCATCCATTTCCCTGCAAATTCCATGATTTTGTCATTTTTTAGTGCAGAGTAATACTCAATTGTGTATAAATGCCACATTATTTTTATCCATTCATCTATTGAAGGGCATCTAGATTGGTTCTACAGTCTAGCTATTGTGAATTGTGCTGCTATGAACATCATTGTAGCAGTATCGAGTGTTAATCACTCTTGACTAAGAAACAAAATGAGCCAGGAGTGGCGGCATATGCTAGTAATCCCAGTGACCAGGATGCTGAAATAGGAGGATCCCAAGTTCAAGTCCAAACTCAGCAATTTAGTGAGGCCTTAAGCAACTTAGTGAGTCCCTGTCTCAAAATAAAAAATAGAAAGGGCTGGAGATGTAGCTCAGTGGTAAAGTGCCTGTGGCTTAAATCCCCATTACTGTCTCTCCCCAAAACAAAAAGGAAAAAAATGAACAAAATAAAAACACAATATTTATTTGCTCTTTAATGACATAATTTCTGGATCACTTAATCTACTTAAAAATTCAAATAATTTTTTCAAATGAAAAAAGCAGAAACAAATATTTGTAAAAGTGTGCCCAATTTAAAACTCTGTCCCTTACCTTCATACTCTACGCAAACAAAATTTTGCTTCCAATATTATTCAAATTTTTGTTAGATTAATAATGGTTAAGAAATTTTCCAAGAGAATGCTAATTAAATGCCTTAGGATCTCTTACATTCTGACAGTGTAACTCTTTCTAAAATATGGAAATATAGTCCTGTAAAAAAAAGTCTTCAAGTCAATACATTCAACTGACATTAAGTGAATCCAGTGATTATTAACTGAATACTTTCACAAATATTACACAAAGTACTCATCACAAGCACTGGACAAAGCAATTTAACAGCTTTAAAACAGCTACCTAAGCCCAAGAACCTAGCAGGCAGGCACCATTACTGACTCTGAATTCTGATGAGGAAGGAGTAGAACGTACACAGGTGCTCAACAACATGCCCAAAGCTACATACCTAACAAGACATAATCCCACTTCACATATTTCCTTATTAATAATCTCTAGCCAATGACTTCTGTTTCTCTAATTGTTCATTATGGGCTCCTTGTTATCTGTCTTTTCCCAAACCCCTTGTCCAATTCTCCAGCAAGTTCAATCTGTCTAAGCCTGAAAATGCACTTCAAGGTTCTCTACTTGCATCACAACACTCTAGTCCAACCTTTAAATTTTCCAGTTGGGGCAACTCTAATTTGCGTTTTCATTTGTACAATTATAGTTTTCCATATTTTCACATTTTTTGACCAGTTTATTTTCCACTAAAAAAATATCTATTTTTAAAAATACAAATGTTGGGCTGGGGATATAGCTCAAGTGGTAGAGTGCTTCCCTCCCATGCACAAGGCCCAGGGCTCAATCCGCAGCACCACACATACACACACACACACACACAAAAAAAAAATACAAATGTCATTGTATTGCTCTACTTCTGAAACTTTTTAGATACACCTTTTGTTTCAAATTCAATCAAATAAAATTCTTGACACACAATACCCTGCATTGTCTAGTTCTTTACTGACACTTTATACTTACAGTTCACAACACCCCTAACTACCCACCAACTTAGTGCTGCTTGAGCAACCCCTCTAACCTCTCTGAGTCCTCTCAACAGGAAGCTTTTTCTCCCTCCTTATATTTTAGGTCCAGCTTAAATGTTTCTTCCTCAGAGACACCTCCTTGACCAATTAACTAAATAGCCCATAACTATTATTCATTTTTTGTAGCCCTGATCATATTTTGTAAATTGATTTATTGTCTATATACGCAATGAAAATACAATCTTCAAAATGGTAGGAACCATTCATTTATTTCCTTACTCTATATGTAGAACCTAGAACAGTGCCATCATGTACCAGACATAAGGAATTCATCACTAATATAGACTTTGACATATACTTCAGTGCTTCTCTTTGTCCATCTACAATATCTTTATGTGGTTTTATATGACTCACTAGATTGTAAAAAAAAATGGACTTCTTCATCAAAATTCAGATTTAATCCACTTACTTATTTGGAAATAAAAATATAATTAGAAATTTCCAAATATCAAATGCATGTTTCAGAAAAACATAACACACACATTCCCCTTCTTTTAAATCAATGCACCTGTATGAGAATTGGCAAATATATCTTAGAAGCAATGCTTACATCTTTATCTCTATAGATTTCATGATATTTAACTCAATACCTGATAATTTTCTTTTACTACAGTACATTCTTATGAAAATTCCAAATAGGTTATATTCTAAGCTTTTTACTTAGTTTGTAATTCTCTCCATCTAACATATATACTAGTCAACCAGATAGTCGGCTAGGATGGAACAATAGTTCTCAAATTTTCTGTAAATCAGAGTTACTTAGAAAGTGTTTAAAAAGACAATTGCTTGCTCAGGTCCCATCTCCAAAGATTTCAATTTACATATTTAGGGTAAGATCAGGTCACTATATTTTTAACAAGCTCCCCAAGGGCTTCTGATTCATATACCCTTAGTAGAGTCTTTCCAACATCTCTGAGTTTAGATGCTAAAAATATTTATATTCAATTCTTGCTTCTTTAGCAAAATGTGTTGTTGCTCTGTAATCTTCAGATAATGTATTAGTAACAGCTCAAAATATTTTAAGGCCTCATCTTGGAATGCCCTCTCTCTACTCACTCGTTTCTACATACTATTCCATTTGCAGTTCTTTGAGTATGCCATGAAATTAACCTCCTTTGAACTTGATGTTTCCTCTGTCTATGAAGACTATTCCCAGTTTTATATGGCTGTGTCATTGTCTAGTCATCAGATTTATGTAAGTGAGGACTTCCTTTATTTGGTACCTATTGTCTTGTTAGTACAAAGTCTCTCCATTTATATACAATTTTATGCACCACTAGATTTTAAGGACCTTTCTTTTCTCAACTCTTACTTCTGTATCCCAATTACAGAATACACTGGATAGCAAAAGCTGGTATCAAATATTAAGTATTACTTAAGGCATTCATTTCTGGGAAAGTCATTCATCAGTATTTCATTTTTTTTTCCTTTGTGATTTTTTCACATACCTTATAGATTAAAAATCTGAACAATATCTTAGAGTCCATCTACATTTACCTCATTTTTCTAAGCAAGAAAAACAAAAACCAAACACATTCTAAACACTCCCAAACTGAGTCTATCATTAGTACCTGATTAAAGCCAAATACCTGTACTTGCTTTGTCCTGTATTTGCTCTTCCACTCCATACTATTGTTCAAAATCATATATTATATAGATAACATCCATTATATTTGCTAAAATCACATGACAAATATCATAAAATAAAGAAATGCTGGGTTGTTTTTATGGGTATGTGTGTGTACTGTGTTCCTGCATCTTTTCTCATGCAGCTGTTTTACCTCCTCCCCATCGCAGGCACCTCGCTAGGTCATTGCCAGTCCCAAGAGGCAGAATAGCAACTGGAGGATGCTTGACTACATTAGCCTTTTCTGTGGAAATAAAAGTAAAACAAAATGTTGATCACAGAATAGCAACAAAAATGGTAACCTGACATTAAATGAAAAAGATTTACTTATAATTTTTATTCATTTGTGACAATTGATAAAAAAGAAACATATTATTAACAATGTGACAGGGATTTTTCAAATAATAAATGAGAAAACCTTTTAAAATACCATAACTAAGCTGAATATTGTATTTTTGTGTATGTAATCTTGTGTGTGCACACGCGCGTGCACATGTGTGTGATCTCTGTTAAAATTCCAAGATAGGCATATACCTGCAGTATCAGAACAGGAATGTGACCAGGGTACCTTATTAGATTCCAATATAGTCCTTTTTATAGCATCAAATCTAGATCCATTGTACTTTAAGGAATAAAACAACTGAATTGTAAGGGAGAATAAATTGCTAATATTGTCCTTGAATTGTTTCTACCCACGTGCTATTTTCTGTCAGAACAAATGAAGACAAAGATAATACTGAGTAACCTAAGATTAGGTTTTTTGATGAGATTAATCTTTATATCATATAGTGCTTTGAATTTAGAGCAGCATAGATCTCTGTCACAAAAATTCCATATGCTTTTGTTTGAAACATTTTATGCCCCAAGTGAATTTCACAATTGTATATTATTCTCTTTACTTTTCACACCGTCTTTAGTCCTTTAAGGTCAGTGTGGAGATGAGTGTAAGAACAGAGGGACTGGGTAATTCAGGGACATGCCACAGATGTAGACTTTGGGGATTAAATAAGCCAAACTCCCCACAGTTTTCACTCTGAAATCCACACAAGTCCACAGATACTTTTCCATTAACTTAGAAACTTTTGCAATTCTTGAATTCTGGTTTTCTTCTTTGATAGAGCACATAAATACTGTATACCTCTTTTATTGGAAGGACAAGAGCAGAATATTTACTGATTATCTTGTAAAATATTAGTAGATTAATGTTGCTAGACTCTTACCAAAAGTGTTACTTATAACATGTATTTTTTAAATTGAATATTTTCAGTGTATGAAAAAAATATAATCCGAATCAACTAAATATAACTTTGTTTTAATCTACAGAGAACAAAACTTCTTAGGTCAATTCTTATTGTGAAAGGATCTGATTCTATTAAAGAAATGTTGATTCAGAAACTGGAATGAGATATAAGAGTAAATAAATATTTGTTAGGATTTATTCCTTATAAATGCCAATTTATGTTATAACTAGTAATCTAACTAATAATAAGTTCTTACAAGTGCCTAGATCTTAAAAATCAGTTTAAATTTTCAGAATTTATCAAGTTTTTCTTGTACAGTATTATCACCTTTTTATCCTCAATCATATACTTGTTTTTGTGTTTATAAACTCAAACTCTTTAACTACAGAGAAAATACAAAATAAGGTTAAAGTGTGCCTTCTCACCCAGCTCTGTCAGTTTATAACTACTAGGCTTTGCTCTAATTATTTGGCCACTTTAAGCTTAGATTACCTGTGTCTAAAATGAGGTTTGACAGATTTATGGGGAGTTAATGAAATGATTTAGGAATATCCAATAGTTAAAAATAGGTAGAAAAATTAGCTATGGTAATGATGATGACAGTTGGTGATAATGATATAAAAAATATATAGAGAGGGTAAGGTTTTGAGACTTCACATTTAAATCAGGTAAATATATCCATTTGTCACAGACTTTATCAGAAGTGCTAAGATCCGTTTGGCTTCCTTTCTAGGGCAAAGAAACAAGATTTCCTAGAGCCTGATTTGAAAACAACTCTGAAGATTTAGAAAATGCTATGAGAAATGATTAGAAGGTATTTCTAGATACTTGTAAATTATGTCAATTAAAATTCTAAACGATAGAAGAAGGAATTAACCCAGTTACTGAACAACCTGAAAGATGTCCACTTACATAATTGCATCCAAAGATCCTAATGTTGGCATTTGGTAGGTAGATACATAGAGAGATAGATAAAACAGAATTTTAGGTCATTATTCTCACACAAGCCACATTAAGTATTTTTCCTCATTACCTATGCAATCCAGAATCCAGCCCACGGTTCCATCTCCACCACAGGCTAACACTCTGAAGTCAGGAACATCCCGGAAAAAGTTTAACCTGAAAAATAAACATGTTATGGCACATGACTGATATTTAAAAATGAGGACTTGTTGGTTTTTTATTCCTGCCATTTTATTCAATGAAATATATTTCTATTTTATAGAAACTACAAAGTATTTCATTGATATTTTACATTTCATTTAAATATATTTTATAATTATATATTCCAGATTCTTCCCTTTAAAATATTTGGTAATCATATGTTCTAGATGACATACTAGTTATTTCATTTTTTTATAAATGATAACATTTTAAAATATAATAAATCATGATTTTCATTAAAATATTCACCCAGATGTGATCTGAGATCACATAATCCAGAATGACATATACTTTATTATTTCATTTAACAATTTTTATCAGTTAAAAATCCTCATTTGAATAATAATTAAAAAATCACCATGTCAGTAAATACAATGCCTTTAAGACTTTTCTATTTTCCTTATCACTGGGAGAAACTGATCAGGCTGCAAGTGGGAGTATAGCCAACTCTTTGAGCTTTTCCTTTTGACTTAGAATCAGCAAATAGTAGCCAGACTTCACCTTGTCTTTCAACCTGATGACTAGTGTTTACTACCCAGGAACACTCAAGCTTAATTGCTGGGTCAGCTGTGATAAATATCCACTGCTCTTGCTACTGCTGCATGCAATGTGCTTATTAATGCAACCTACCTGGGAAAAAGTCACAAACACAGGCAATACAGCCAGTTATACAGTCACACATGCCTATTTTATTGCAAGAAAAGAAATTAAACAGGAAAGAAACCCATGCCTTCTCTTCATTTGCCCCAGATATAACCACTGGTAATCATATAAAACCACTGAAGTAATTTTTCTATACACTGCATATGAATATAGAGATATAGGTAAAACTTTATTACACACACTTTTAACCTGAATGGGATTGTGACACAGTGTTCATTTACTGTGCTTTTTTAAAACTTAAAATGTGTGTAAGAGATCTTTCTGTATTGTACATAACATGCATATATTATGTGTTGACTCATTCCACATCATAATTGCTAAGTATCACAGGATGATTTATAATAAGTGAATATACTCCAACATTAAATTGTTTCTTTTTATGTGTTTAGAAACTATACCTAGTGTTTCACTAGCATAAAAAGTACAATAATTCACAATATTAAAAGTATATTTGTGTGTGAATATGTATATGTGTTTGAAGCCTAGTCTTCAGGAAGATGTTTGGTACATCATCATTTGAAAAGTCTCTCACTGTGGCATATGTTAGTGGCCATTTCCTTGCAAACCCAAAATAGTACATATAAACAACCTTATAACATTTTCTTTGATAATGAGTAAAAAATAGCATCTTGCTATTTTTGGGTGAATCTCACTTCCGTGTTTGCTTTTGACTTGAGCATATTTTCACAGGTTTCCTGGAGAAGCATGACCTATGTGAACAGCATCCTCAGAGACTTACCCCTCTATTAAACTAGTTGTCTTTTTCATATTGTTTTTTAAACTCTACATATTACATGTGATATTTTAAATTTACATAGTTTTAAACTTTTGTCAAAGTTAAATAGTGCAAAAATATATTTGAAATGTATAAAAAAATAAGTAAACCCTACCATCTGGCAATAATACTCATGGGTGTTTGAAATATGAAGCTTCCATGCATTTCCTCATGTTTAATTCTGTGGATATTTGACCTTTGTTAGATATTTTGCAAGTATTTTTCCAGTTTATTGCCAATGTGTTTGCTTATATTACACATAGTATAATAAATACCTGTGTTGCAATTACTACTCCAGGAGGTAGAATATTTCCAGTAACTTGCATATTCCTCTGTATTTTTCCCTGTAGCACTGCTCTTCCTCATTCACAAAGGTGAGCACTAACTGAATATAGGCTGTCATGCAAATTTCATAACCAACATATTGCTTTCTATTGTTTTCACTTAACTTGGGTTCATCAATGTTGTTGCTGAATTCTTTGCATTTGAAACTGTTCCTTTATATTTCTACAGCTGTGTAGTATGCTAGTTATGGCAATATGCCTTTTTAAACCCATGTCAATGGGAATTTGGACTAGTTACTTTTATGTTCTTAATAAAAAGTACATTCTTGCTTCTTAGTGCTGCTGGGCAGTAGTTACTTTGGGTGAGGTTATTAAATATGCAGTTTTACAAGACAACTAATTTCCCCCTCAAAAAAGTTGTAGCACTATACAATGTGTGAGCCTTATTGAATCTATCCTCTCTAATGCTTCTAATGACACGCGTCTTAATTTTGTGTAGTTTTTTCTTTCTATGAAAAATTTCCCTCAATTTTCTACCCATATAGTTCTTGTTGTTTGGCAAAAATTCTTTACTTGCCATTGATTTTAATATTTTCTGGTTTGTATTTTTTTCAAATATCTTTTACAAGATGGAAGTTTTTTCTTCGTTTACTTTCACTGTATATGTTAATGAGTAATATTTTGGTTTCAGTGTATTCATGCTTATCGATTATTTGGTAAGTGGCTAATACTTTTAACCAGTCTTTTTAAAGAAAAGTTTCCTCAGAGGTCAGAGAAGAATTCACATTTATTCTATTAAAATTTCAGCTTTATATTTGACATAGAAATTTTTTTTCTTCCTATCCATTTTTTTCCTTCCTTCATTTTCCTTGCATCCATCCATTCTTCCTATCTTCTTTCCTTCCGACCTCTTTCCCTTCTCTTTTTGCTACAGTGCACAAATTATTTGGGATTATTTTTATACATCTTTTAATTTACTGAATAATTCAACTTCTACCATGCAAATTTCATCTTAAATCTAATTTTTATATATGGGTGCAGTGCATTTTTCTTTGTATTCTCTTTGATGCTTTAATTCATGGATTTGTGCACCTCTGCACCAGTACCACAGTCTTACAATAGCTCCAGCTCTCCCATAGAGTTATGTATGATAAAGTATTATGAATCTTGGCATTTTGGTATGTATTTCAAAGTTAACATGATATCCCACCAAACTGAAATTAAGAAAAAATAAAAATAAATAATGATTCTGATTGGAGTTAGATTCAACTTATGGATCAATTTTGGGATAAACAGCATTTGTATGTTAAACTTTTTTATCCATGAATATAGGATTGTTCAGTTTATTTAGGTATTCTTTAGTGTTCTTCAATAAAGTTTTGAATTTGATGTTTATAAGTATTACATACATTTTTGGATGTATTCTTTGTTACTTTATAGTTTTGTTGATATTTTCAATACTTTAAAAATTATGTTTACTAATATTAATGTTAAAGTTTTTACTGTTACTATACAGAAATAGCTTTGACAATTGTATATAGATGTCATAATACTTCTACCTTTTGAATTACTTATATTTTGTTTGTAGATTTGTTTATGTATACAATTGTGTTATATATACTTAGAGCAATGATATTAGTCATCTCCAATTTTTATAATTCATTCTTTCTCAGTTTCATTATCCTGGCCGAAATTCCAGTATATTATTGTGTATGATGATTCTGAAACCATTCATAGCATGTTCCTGAATTTCAAAAAATTAATTTCCTGAGTCTGTCTATTTAGAGTGATATTTGTTATTTGGAATTTCTTTTCTTTTTAAAAAAAAATATTGACACATTTTCTTAGGTTAATAGAGTTCCTTTTCCTTCTATAATAGTAATTTTATTATGAATAAATGTTTATCTTTTTCACATCTTTAGAGATGTTGATTTGGTTTCTCTCATTTAATTATCTGGCGTGAATATACATTTCTGTATTAGGAAAGCATTCTTTCAATTCTTTTATGCATCCAAATTGGTCACTGCTTACTAATATTTTTGTAGAAAATTACATCTAGTTTACTCAAAGGGTCTTGTTTAGAAGCTCTAAAACTAGATTCAGGAACAAAATAGATCTATTATTTTTCTTATACATATTGCTTCTGTTTAACTTTTTAAATAAAATTATGTTGCCATTTTTAAAAGTTGCAAATTGCACATCACCTTTTTTTGAAAAAATTTGTATAATTTTAGAAAATTCTTAATAACTGGTAACACTCAAATGAAAACTATCTAATTTCTGGTGAGTCCTTTTTTAAAATAATTGAAAGGGCTTAGATATTAATTTCAATTATTTAATGTCTATTGAAAAAAATGCTTTTTTAATTCTTTGCACATTAGTATTTTTCAGTTATGTTTCTTTAGCAATTTGTATATTTCTCTTAGATTTTCTAACACTTTGGCACTGAAGCTTAAGACAGGTTTTTGAAACATGCCAGCAGTGGAAACATTTACCACAGAGTTAATGGTGTCTGGTGAAACCTAACCATCCATTGACTCACCATTGTTCTTCTACTCCATGAAGATGTTTCATCTGTTATTCATTCTTGTTTTCTTTTAAAATTGTCATCATTGGTTCTTCAGCAGCATCCTACCCCCAAACATAAACCCCACGTGACTGTCAGACCAGCTTACTCTCTGTAAATTGACTGCTAAATGGATGGAAAATTGACCTCTCTTTATCTCAATTTCTTAATCCACTCAATCCATGCAGTTTTTTCCTGGGGATTCATTCATTCCTTATTTCATTCATTCATTGACTAGTAGCCTATAATCATTCTGATTCTCCATTTGCTTATCTTTCAAATGGAATTAACACCACCTGTTTTGTTGACTGTTTACATACACATAATGAGTTTGTGTTATACTATCTCTAGATCATTACAAATTAAATTATCTTTTCCCCTCATTAAAAGTAGTGTATATGTATTATAGGTCAGAGTGCTTCTCTTCTATTTCCCAACTACTCCATCCTCAGTGTTCTGGCAGAAGAGTCACCAAGATAATTTCTAAAACTTCCAAGCTGGACTGGACAGTGAGGAGAGCCTTACCTACAAACTGAAATCACGGACAGTGGACAATTGAGAAACTTGTTTATACCTCTGGGACAGCAGGTGCAGCTGTGACCAAGGACAAACAATTCCAAGAGATTTGACCAGAGTCAAAATACAGAACTCTAGATGTTACTGATTT